GTGTCAGCAAAATGGTTCTTTTCTGCTTTTCCGACAAGACCCATCGGGCTCGATTTCACACTCTGGCATCAACTCAAATGGTTTGAGCCAGCCAGGCGGGGAGACATTCATGATGTAAAAAGTCTTACCCGGAGCTTTTGACACACTGGATGCCGCTTGACTGGAAATGACGTAGGTTGCCGTCGTCGCTGTCTTTTCAGCTTTCTCCTTCATTGCTGTCCTTTTGCTTTGTATTACGCTTGGCAGGTAAGAGGCGGAAGTGTTTGGTCATTTTTTTTGGGTCCAAAAAAAAAGTGTGTGTGGCTGAATTGTCACAGTCTCAAGGCAAATTGAGTTTTTGGTCGGATTCTCACTGTATCCCCAATCGACAGCCCTGGAATTAGCCAATGGCAGAGCAGGTCTCATTATGCCCTGCTACCCATGTTATCCTGTCTTCTTCATTGGGGAGGTGGGGGCTCAGGCTTGCCGAGGAGGGGGGGTGGGGGGTTTGTTAGTCACGGGCTCAATTAAGCTTCGTACGTTCTCCAGAGTCATCAGCCCCCCCCGGCTACTAACATATCGCTGCATCAGTATGATGATGAAGTGGAGAGAGTGAGACATATGCAGGCTTGCTGTCTGTGTGTTGACACGTTTCGTTTGAGAGACATTGAGAAAGCAGCTCAAGATAATGATTGGGGGGGTGGCGGCGGGAGTGGTGGTGGTGGTGGTGGTGGTGGTGGGGGGTATACTGTTATTTTTAGCCCTGCAGTGGAACAGTGTGACTTAGGCTTGAAGTGCGACTGTGTAAATGCATGCGTTTTATCTCGATGACAGCTTTCTGGTCAGGCCGCACCAGTGATGAGGGCGCCGCTCGGAGTGCCAATAAAGTTGTGAAGATTAAAACTAAAATGAACCTTGAAAGCCGTCTTTTCAATGTAGTACACGGTTAAGTCGCTGTCTTGCACATTGACCGTATTCTGTCGACATTTCGGAACGGAGGCCTCGTGTGCTATTGACGTGTCCATCAAAAATAAGGTGTGTGTGTGCGCGCATGTTTCAACTGACAATAGTGTTTGACGCCTCCGACACAAAAACACAATGAAGGCGTCCCTAAATTTCACGACTTGCCAATTGAGAAGGGCCGCATGCCGCGGATAGGGAAAAAGTTTTGACCGTACCATGCGGAAGGATACGATGCGCGACAATCTGAAGGCGTTGGATCAGTGTGACGGCCGTAAAAAATTCTCAAGCTGGTGCCAAACTGCAGTCGGGACAGAAAAAAAAAAAAAAAACTTGCGTTGGTCTTCCAGTCTGTCAGTTGGTGAGCTTAGTGCGAGGGAATGGAGTGCATACAAAGTCTGCAAAGCCCAAGCTGCCAAATGTTGATGGCCTCAAGTCCATCCAAATGATACCTGAAACAAAATTAACAACAAAAAAAAAAGTATACAGTATTCAGAGTATAGTTTTTTTGGGGGACATTTTGAACAGTGTGTACATGCAGAATCAACCTGAATTTAGCTTTAGTTGCTTACATAGTGAGGAAGAAATGGCTGAAACTGGAATTCCTGTGCCCTTCACTACAATTTCACCTTTTCTTTCATGCACCGGCAAATTTTGTGGGAACTGGTGGTGTTTTTTGTTTTTTAAGAAAATCCTCACAATCAAGACAGTGTCAAAACAATGCTTGTGATCTTTTGTGATCTTGGCTGATGTCATTACATGAAAAACCACCACAAAAGAATTATTTTGTTCTCTGATTTTTAATTATGATGATGATGATGATTATTTTTTGGTGCAGACCCTTTTTGCATGTTTGTAGTGTTTTTGTTTGTGCGCTACACCCACCAAAAATGTTATTCATTGTGTGTGCGTATGCCGTCCCACACATCTGCTCAGCCCGCGGGTTGCTTTCCTCAAGAGAACTTGTCTCTCTTATTTTCCCAGGCAAAACCCTTCCAGATCTTACACAATATCAAGCGCTGGAATGTTGTTGCTTTTCTCCTTTTTTATTCTTGTTTTCTCCCATTGTCTGATTTGACTACCAAGTCCGACAGTTTATTTGAACATCAGTGACGCCTTGCAATACGAGTTAAATGTGTTCTGTGACCGTAAATCGAAACACTCGTATCGCAAATCAGCTTTCGTAATTGAAATGAATGGAAGTGCCATCAATCCGTTCCAGCCTCTCAGAAAAAACATGTTGAATGAGGGGGAAAAAAACAGCACGCGATATTGGATTGTGTATAGCGCTCTTTTTGGAAGAATTGTTGACTAATTCTATCTGACAAACTGCTGAGTGACTTGCAAGTCATAGGAAGAAAAAAAAGATCTAACTTGTATGTCGAGTCATTCATAGCTTAAGGCAGCACTTTATATTGGTTCCTCTTTTAAATAAATTGCAAGTAGCCTCATTTTGGGAGTGATAACAAATATATATTTTTTCCTATAGGCTGCTCAAAGTTTTAATTTTTAAATGTTTTCCTCCAGCGTGGATTGTAAATGCAGTGTCCAAATTCCGACCGTTCTTTTAGCCGTCTCACACTGAAGACTATAAAAAGATGTTTGTTCCTTTCAAGCCTGAAATACACTTTTCACTGTCGGGAACTCAAACATGAAGCACATCTATTGTTAGCGGCACACATGGATTTTGTGCTACAATCCCGCAACGTATAAATTACTTGTTGTACTGGCGGTTTGATCACTCTGCCTCTTGTAGTTGAGAGTATTGTGTCATACAAATCTAGTAAAACTTCACCTCACTGCAGCTATGCACAGGCATACTTTAGGCCTCTATTTGAAAATAATGAACTGCATTATTAAAAACAAAACAAAAAACATAAATGACATCCACATCAAGATGCATTTGCTAGCTGCAAGGTGCATGCCAAAGCAAGCGATGCACACTTCATCGGCAACCTTAACCGTAAGGCAAAACGTTTTTGGAACAAATATAAACAGAAATAAATCAATTTGGCCTCACATGTTTTTTCATTGGACGGGAATAGTGTGGACATGGCCTCAGCTTTTTTTCTCTAGCCTCTTTGAAGTTTGTCATCGGGACATTTAAGTGAGTCATACCGTTTTGCAGATGCACCCGTCATGAAATTCAGGGAACAGAAGCATCTCCCGTAGAGACACGGTTTATCTTGTTGATTCAGCGAAATGCTTAAGACAGCAGGGCTGAGAAACTCTTGACTTGCGTGTGACACTCTATGCTTTGACAATTCACATCAGTCAAATTTGACCCTTGAGAATCAGAATCAGAATCGCCTTTATTGTCATTGTATTGCATACAATGTTTGTTTTTGTTTCTTTAAAATTATTATCATCACACATGTACTTAAAATTCTGGAAAACTCGTCCTCACATCTGAAGTCTTTTTTTTTTTTTTTTTTTTAACACAAATGACATAAAGCCCTCAAGTGGTGAGACAATATGAGGAAACGGGAGAGCAGGCGACAAAAAAAAAGGAAACCTGAGCCAAAGAGATTGACGTTTAAAGAAGTGAGACATCAAAGCTGGAAGCGACGTGCGAATGGCTTTCAAATTTCAAATCAGATTCCAGCTTTCCAACAGCGGAGCGACGCTCTTCCCCTGAGAAGAGTCGGTTTGCCGGAGGAAGAAGCTCATTTTCCACCCACGGCACGTTGAACTTGAGGAGAAGGACTGCACGCTCTCTAAGCCCAGTCACATAATAGGAGGGCAATAACGGAGGCTGAAAGCTGGTGCACGGGCAGTTGCTAAGCAGGATTTCCGATACTTGTGGCGAGACAGCCACGGTATTAGGATGGATCTGAGCAGAACAGATAAGAAATAGGGACAGAACCACACAAGCCCGGTTGACAGATAATGTGCACCCAGTGTGCCCCCATCCCAAAAAAAAAAAAAAATCACACACAACAAAGCCAGCTCAATGATGTTCTTCTCAGCCAGGAACTGTCAGATGCTCACGGCATTGTAAGCAGGCATGTTGTCATGGTGAAGCATCCGCGAATTTTCCTGCTACAACTCTCCCTTCTCCTCATGGAGGTTTAAAAATCTAGCCCATGATGGGAAACACATTTCATTCTATTCTATTATTTTGTTGTTTTTTTGTGTTTTTTTACAGTCAACACAGAATCTTTTTCACAAGATGCCACTGTCATATTTCTCCTTGCTGTATTCAAACTCAGTGGTTCTTAGGCCCACGAAAGCTTTGTGTGTCAAAACAATGTGATGCGGCAAAATAGATTTATGAAGAACACATTCGCCATTTTGGAAACAATGTACTGAATACGCAAACGTGTTTCTTCAAATATTGTCTTTCCCTCGAATAAACATTGTGCGCACTATCCCAGCCACTATTCCCATCAGGAAAACTAACGGCTAGCTTTTTTTTTTTTTTTTTTTTGCGTCCATTCATAGACACAATTGTTCCCACGTGGGCGTAACTCCTGAGCCCATTTGAAATCCTCGCTCAACCCAAATAGGAGCGCCTACCAAAGCACATAAATAAACAAAAAATACGTGCAGTCTGATTGCATGTTGAATGCAAACAGTATTCAGAAGTGACTTTATCGTTCAAAGGTTTTGATCTGAACAAAGTAAACTGTTAAAATGGTACTCAGGGTTTTATGATGGCCACTTTAAGACTCTGGACCAATTCCCTTTATTTCTTCGAGTCTAAATCCAAACAAATTAGACCAATTCTCGGAATGTGATTTCAGAGCAAGCACTTCAGGAGTCTTTTGCGAATTAAAAAATAAATAAATATGTCTGTTTACAGCTCAAGATGATTGCCTTTGAATTACCGTCTTGACAAACGGGGACCAAAGGGAGGCACATCGATACATCAAAGCGGGAGCAAAAAGTGAGCGAGAGCCCGAAGAAAACAACTTGTCTCAATACTAAAATGTGAAAACAAGTGTGTGGGACAGGACAATGGGCCAGATGGGGAGTGGGACAGCAAAAGTTTTGGCACCCAAAGGGAGATGACGAGCGTCAAGAGCAATCTTTGAAAGCGAAAGAAAGGAGTTGTTTTGATAAATGAGAAGTTGTGAAGACGACGACGGGAGTTGAAGCCTGCTGGTGTTTGCGGTTTTAAATGACTGCAGCTTATGCAGCTCAGGATGACTGATCTGACCTCTTTAAGTGTTTTTATGTGTGCCGCCTACCAGTCATGGACAAGCTGAGTTGAAGGCACATGTGCTTAGCCAATGTTCGCTGTTCTTTCAAGTGATTTGTGACGGGAGAACTTTCGATGCCAAATTTACCCTGTGCCTCCTAATGACACCGTCAAGAGGTAGCGTGAATAAATTAAAACAATGAAGGACCTAAAATTGAGCCTTGAGGCCCACCACAAGACAATATGAATCAGCAATTAAATTCCACATTCCAACTTAAATCGTGATTTAATCGATTCCGATGCCCTTTATTGGATTTCGCTATTGCTCTCTCTCAGCAAGGTTTTGTTATAATTGGCATGAAACCAAACCTACCGGACGTTAGATGCGTGAAAGGGAACTACGTATGCCTTGATAGTGCATCACCAATGGCCTCCATCTACGGGTTTATTCAGATACAAAACAATTTGTGTCAAAACATGATGTATCGGCTCAGAATTTCACACTGCCGTTCAATTCTGTTGTTTTTGTTTTTTGTTTTTTTGCAAATATGCAAGCACCGTGAACAATACAATTCTGATTACTCACTGCTTTATATTAATGACATGCTCTGAAAAATCTCATCTGATAATGTGTCCTACAGCATCGTAATCATCACATTCACATTTTGTTCATTATTTGATAAGTCAGGAAAAAAAGAAATCACAATCACAATCGCTCTCAACTGACAGAAAGACCGCATCAGCCTGACCTAGTTAAGGCTGTCAGACCCGACGACGCAGCGAATGCTAATATGCTCATATGCTTCTGCGGTTTTTTTCAATTGAATTCTCAATTGCTATTTTGTGCTTAGGCAACACATCCCCTGCGTAATTGAATTTTGTTTTGAAATGACTCACCCCGCCATAATTCATCACAAGTCAATTAGGTTGCATAATGGCTTGTTACATCATGACGGTAGCTCAAGAATAGCAGTCGGTTCTTTTGGCAGATGGCCACGAGCCGGGGCACTAAACTGTTACGGCAGCGTGGTAGGATTGTTCGGATTGTTATGGATGAAAGAGGGCATGATTGTCTCAGTAATAGTTCTCTCCCCTCCTACCTTATTTTTACAGAAAAAGCACCGACAGGAAGCATTTCTGCTTTGCACACTAAATGGCCCTTTGCATCTCCACCACCCCCCCCAGGCCAATGCTGAGTGAATACAGTATATCAGTGGCAGTGCTGATGATTGCATGATGTGGGCAAATCTCCAGATTGTATGGAGATTGCATCTTCTCTTGGTCTAAAAAAATTATAATAATTCACTTTCCCCTTTTTTTGGTTGTTGATTTCATTTTAGTGTAGTAATTGCATTTGAAAATGTGATCCAATCATTGACCTCAACTGTAAATTAAGCATCAAAAGCTGATAGTAGCAGCGACTCGTAAGATGCGCACATCAGCTCCTCTGTCAATGGCATCTCAGATAGCATTCACGGGGAGCGCAATAACTGCTCAACCTGAATAATACCACCCAAACACTCGTAATCCTCTTTACCTCTGCCCTTTTTTTGTTTTGATTTTGATCTACCATACATGCAGAGTTGCATGAAGTCCGATTGTTGTCCCTCAGGAGAAAAATGGAGAAATCTTGCCATCTATTGGGGATCATGCGGCACTACCTCTTTTCATGGTTTTCTTCATCTCCACACATTGTATTTTGACCCAGGCGGCTTCAGTTGTTTATTATGCAAGCTGAATTCGTGGCAGCTAATTGAAATTGTTGAAAACTGACCCGTGCCTTTCTCTTGTGTTTTCTGCTTCAGGTCTGCTATCCCCAGTCTTGAGATTTAAACCGGTTCCGTGATTGAACCCCGGTTGGTTCCTGTCGTCAAGGTCCTCATGGAGGGGTTTGCTGTCCACTGACTGAAAGCAAACTCTGCGGATCAGCGGCCATGTCGGCCTGCAGCACCTTCACCGAGCATGTGTGGAAACCGGGCGAGTGCAAGAACTGCTTCAAGCCAAAGAGTCTGCACTGCACTCTGAGTGGCGGGAACAAGCCTCGATCCGAGCTCAGACTTGCGACATCTCAACAACAGAATCCGCCCCATGCTGGGACCAGAGCCAACTCGAACCTGGCCAACAACTCCCAGAGGGCCGGCAGCGGCAGCGGGAATGCCCGCTCGGGACACTTCCGTCCACCCGTGGCAAAGAAACCGACCATCGCTGTTAAGCCCACTATGATGCTGCCATGCTCATCCTTAGGTTCAGGTTCTAACGGCAATATGCAGAGTCCAACAAGTGTGCTGGAACCAGGCAAAGCTTCAGCCTTTATGGTCTGGAATCGCAATGGACTAAACTGTAAGAGGGCCAGCGGTACGAGCAACAACAACGAGGGAGACGACGACGTTGCCGAAATTGAGGGCTATGAGCAACTTAGTCCAAGGACCCCGAGTGGAAATAATAATAACAGTGGACTGACTGATGTCTTAAAAGAGATTGCCGGGTTAGGTCCTGGTCCAAGCCTCACGCCTGTGTCTAAAGACTTATTTTGGGGACGGATCAGTAGCTCATACCAAAGGTCGTTAGAAAGAGGCCTTCCGGCCGCAAGCTGTTTGGCGGTGGGAAGTTGCCTCGGTGGTGGCACGAGTCAAAAACGGGTGTCTCTAAGTGATAGCACAGAGATAATCAGCATGGAGGGTGGTCGCTTTTGCTACCCCGAATTTTCGAGTGAAGGGGAAGATGATGATGAGGAGGAGGAGGAGGAAGAGTCCGAAGGAGATGACCAGCACGAAAGCTGGGATGAAAGTGATGAAGAGTTGCTCGCTATGGAGATCCGTATGAGAGGTCAGCCACGATTTGCAAACTTCCGTGCTGCCACCTTGTCTCCGGTGCCCTTTGCCGCCAGCAAAAAGTGGAATACGGTTCCACTTCGCAATCGTTCTTTGCAGCGGATTTGCGCTGTGGATTACGATGACAGTTACGATGAAATTTTGAATGGGTACCCCTCCGTGGATTCCACTGGAGTTCTTCCACATTACGGGCCTCGTGACTGCCAAGGTAGTGGTTTCCTTACAAATTCAGAGTCCACAATTTCTCCGGGATCATCTTCATCCCTACCAGAAGATTCTCAGACTGCGTCAAGCAGTGAAAGCAGCGTGTCGTGCGCTCACCGAAATGGCTTACGATCCCCCGCGCCTGTCAAATTCCCTCTCGCCTGTACTTCTCCTGTGAGCAAAGAGCCTGCTCACAGAGCGCTGAGTCCAGTCAAGGTGATGGAAACGCACAAGGCTGTTCTGGCTATCAGATTGGATGATCAGGATCAGTCAGCGTCAATGCCCCAGGCCCTCCCGGGCCAACCGGTGACAATCAGTTTTAGTCCCACGGAGGAGCAGGCCAAGCCATACCGCGTTGTCAATTTGGAAAAATCACTGATTTGTAAGCCTTACACCGTTGTAGACGTATCAGCTTCCATGACGGGCAAAAGTGAACATTTAGCAGATCCTCCACCCAAGCACAAAAACCCCTCCAGCCCAACATCGTTTTGTAGCACTTCTGTGGGTCAGCCTCTGTCTCCAACGTCGTCCGGGTTACCGACGTCACCGACATCTGTTGTCCGTTCAAATGCCTCGCGGAAGAAATTGGGGAGCATTCGTTACCAAGAAGTATGGACATCAAGCACAAGTCCTCGTCAAAAGATCCCCAAAGTTGACCTGGGGAACGGGAGCACCGCTGGCCAGTCGATACCTTCCCAACACTTGAGCCACAAATCAGCTCCGACATCTCCGGTCGCTGGGCTGTCGTCTTCCCGAACGGTCCCCGTGAAATCTCCAAATTTATCCGAGATCAAGTTTAACAGTTTCAACAATGCGGGCATGCCTCCTTTCCCCATCATTATCCGAGACGAGCCGGCATATGCCCGCAGCTCAAAGAATGCCGTCAAGGTGCCGATAGTTATCAATCCGAGCGCTTATGACAACTTAGCTGTGTACAAGAGTTTCTTGGGTCTCCACGGCGAGTTGACGCAGGCGAAAGGGGTCGGCAGCCGGGTGACCAGCCATACCTACGAAGAGATTGGCTCCTCCGAGAGCGTCCAGTCGACCTCGACAGACAAAACCCTCTCTGGCAGAGGCACGTCGGAGAGAGTGTCTTCGGAGGAAACAAAAGCTCCGTTCGAAGCAATGGCAAAATCTCCCAGTCTACAACCGATAACCACCACAGACCCCAGCGCTGTGACGAGCTCTGTGTTGGCCTCTCCAATCGGGGCTCTTTCACCCACTGCATCAACAAATTCCACCACCTTTCTAGCGGAAAACCCGCCCAAGAGTAGCCCTGCTGCCATTGCGGTAACGCATCAATTCAATCGGGATAATCTTATCAAACAGTCTTCTTCTACGGGGACAGGATTAAACCATCAAGTCGACGCCAGCGCTGTGCTCTCGCAGATTGTGGCCTCCATCCAGCCGCCCCAGTCTCCTCCGGAGTCCCCCTCTGCCCATGACAAAAGCTTCAGCGCTGAGGAACTTTATGCCCTTCCGCCCGATGCCATGAAGGAGACCCTGGCACGACCAAAGTCACTGTTTTCCTCAAATGACGCCAGCGTTCCCAAGCCCATAAAAGACACCATCTCCAAAGTTTTGTCGAAATCCCAGAGCGCCTCCGCTGCCGTGCCCCTCTCCGCTAGCCGCTCAGAGCCTAATGCCCCTTTCCCCCCTCCCAGGTCTACGTCTTCCCCTTATCACGCTTCCAACATCCTCCAGAGGCATTTTAGCAATTGGACTAAGAGCTCCGCTTCCAGTTCTCCTTTACGCTCCAGTGAAGGCGAAACCCGTCCGAACGGAGAAGGGAAACGCAGTCAGCCGGAGAGCTCCAAACCCAAACGGTGGATCTCGTTTAAGAGTTTTTTCCGTCGACGGAAAGATGAGGACGAGCAGCGAGAGAAGGCGGAGAAAGAAAAGGAAAAGGGCAAGCTCGTCGGGCTGGACGGAACTGTGATTCACATGCTTCCGCCGCCACCGGTTCAGCAGCGGCTCTGGTTCTCGGAGGCAAAACCTGAGGATCCGTCCCAGAAACCGACCATTGTTTTTACCTACAAAATGGAAAGTAGTAGCGACGCAAGTGCTGAAGGAGAGCTACGACTAGAAGAATGTAAGGAGACTGCATTACTGACACCCTGCGACAGTGAGGAGTCCAGACCTTTGAGCCCAGGGCGACAACATCCCGCGTCGGAGTTCACTGAAGTTGCCCCTGTCAACGACATAAGGTATTTCCCTGAGAACTGGAACATTTTTTTTCTACTCCCAACACCCAAATATTTTATGATGCAAAAATTGCTTTTAGCAGATTGTAGGGTTTACTCTTGGACCAACGTGTCACATTGGACCACAAAGTCGAAGTAACGGTCCACCACTTTGCTCTCAAATGTTAGGATAGATTTAAATCTGTCGGGATACTGTGTCGTGAAGTCGTATTAAAACACTGCTCGAATCCAACACGTACTATAGTACTGAACAATTTTGTCATGTTTGGCTTATTCATGATCACTTTGAAACAGTAATTCATCCCTTCGTCACATCTCGGTTGGATTACTGTAATGCACTTGACTTTGGAGTCAGCCAATCCTCCATTAACCGTCTCCAGTTGGTCCACAATGCTGCTGCTCACCTCTTGACTGGTACTCGTTATTAGAGGTCCCGAAAACTAAGCGGATGGGACTGAGCCTTTTCCGTTGCCGGTCCCTCTCTTTGGAATGAACGTTGCGCAAAACCCCTCGCTGCCCATCTTTAAAACTCGTCTCAAAACCCATTTGTATTCTTCGGCTTTTGACTCAGCATGACTCAGACTTGAATTTAGTTTGACTGTTTTTGTGCTTTCTATCCTCTGTTATTGGTTTATTGAGGTTTTTTTTTTGTTTTGTTTTGTTTTGTTTATTGTTGTATCTATGATATTTGCCCCATGCACAGCACTTTGTATACAGCGGTGGGTTGTTTTAAAGTGCTCTAGAAATACACTTGAGTTGAGAGTTGATTCATTCACTTGACTCCGAATGCCCGACTGAGTCACTCGGTCATCTCCTCGGAATGCTCTCTCTCAATTCTGCGTCACCGAGTTATTCCAGAACGTTTTGGTTATCTCTAATATCAACTCCAGAGTGGATGTTTGTTTCAACAGCGTGGGATAAAATGTGATCAAGCGCAAGCAGACTGTGCTTTGTGGAATGTCAAAATGCAATTCCTCTGTGATTTTGTCAGCCATCTTAAAGGATCAGATGTTATTTTATTTCCATAATCGTTGCCTTACTCGGACTTGCCAGTATCGCTGTCGAGTGGTCACGCATTCCGGCCATTTTACGGCGGATTCGTAAAAGCCTCAGCTGTCACTGGGTAAACAAAAGAACGGCATCGGCGGTAACCAGTCACTCAGGTCACTTTACAGGCCACTTGCTCTAGCCGCATGAAGGGTTAACGCCGCTATCATTTTGTTGCTTTTTATTTTTTTCCCCTTCGCCTGAATGAGGCCGTTTTATGAGCTCATGGTAGGCGTGTGCTCTTTGGCGCTCGCAAGCACACATCACCTTCGACAGGTAGGAAGGGTTATCGAGGTGCAGGGAGAGGACGACAAGGCAACGGCGGGCAGGAAAATGTCTCCACAGTAGACCAGCAGTGGCTCTCCACAGAATGTGAATTGATCTCGACGCTATCGTCAAGATTCACAAATGGGAAGCTGTGTAAGCCAGTACAGCGGGTGAGAAACCGACGAAACCGTGCCTCCGTTTATCCAACGTCTCGTATTCCTGAGTTGTTGCACAGGAACGTCTTTGAGATGATGTGCTTCCGATTTTCAACACAAGTTTACTCGTTTTGTTTGTTTTTCGACGGCCTCGCTCAGCGGGCCAAACAAAGTGAACAGCGAAGTGAAACGTTTTCGCGCCGTCTCAACAAGTCAGGTCCTGACCCTGAAACGTGTAGCAGCCGTAAAGGTATTTCTTGTGTCAAGGTCCCTCCAGCTGTATATTTGATCTTCCCTCTACAGTCAGTTTCGGGCCACATAGTCTTACTGTACGGGGGGTTTGTGGTGTTTTTCCCCCTCGTTCAATTTCAGGATTTTACAGCAAATTGTATGGACCGTGTGAATGGATTGTCTGTGTGCAGGCTTATTGTCGTCTGTGTTTCGCACAGAATCTGCAATTGTTTCCAAAAGTCTTTGTCGCTTTTCTATCGACATGTGCGGCAGGTCACGCCTCTGAATACAAATGTTGTTTTTCTGATGTCTTCCTTTTGAGCTATTTACGAGGTAGCTTTTGCATTCCAAAAGTCTTTGTCGCTTTTCTATCGACATGTGTGGCAGGTCACGCCTCTGAATACAAATGTTGTGTTTCTCCGATGTCTTCCTTTTGAGTTATTTACGAGGTAGCTTTCGCGCTACCTTCTTGGCGTTTTAAAGAATTGCAGTGTGGTGACTTCTGGTCTCCGTGGACATACCGCACCATTTGATTCGAGGGCAAAAACAATGAGATGTTAATGTTTCTTTGCGTTGGCGTGTGCAGGCAGGGACTTTTTAAATTAGTCATGAAGACTACGACTAATCAAAACTTTTCCCCAAATAAAATGAGTCATCTGATTTGGGATCATTCAAACCTGTCAAACTGTCTCGATAGTGACTACCTCGTTTCTCTCACAACCTGGCTCTGACCACACTCTTTTTTTTGTGGGGGGGGGAGTGTTTTTTTTCCATCAAAATTGAGTTAATCATTCATTCATATGATCAAGAATAGCGCGTTGAACTGATAAGGATTTTCCAAAGTGCACAAACAAACGTGACCACTGGAATCTTGAGAACAGATTTCGGTCACTCGCACAAAGGCAAGGAAAGTTGGATGACAGCGGCTTTTGAAATCGACATCGCTTTTGATGGAAAGCCACTAAATATAAATAACCTCATCGCAAAGAAACACCCGGCAGGAAAAAAAAAAGTTTCCACCAGATGCTTGTCATTCCCTTTACGATGGCATCGCAATCATGCGTCATTGCCATCGCAAAGATGTGGTTTTCATAATCGCAACCATGACGTGATACAACACCGCGTCACTGTCGACATCATAAACAAATAATCTCAAAACACCATCGGCATTGTGAAAGCAGCTCAACACCTCATCGCAAAGAAACACTTCACAACAAAGGTTCTATTAATTCACCTTTACAGTGACATCATTTCCTCCCATAAACACCTTGTATGTCCTTATTGTTGAATAAACACACTCAATTAATATTTGAAGGAAGTATTGTCGCAAGATAGCATTGGTTGCTAACCCGATGGAACCACGCTGGTAATGACGCTCCCAAATCGAGAGCAGATCGAATCCCACCGTCACATCCTTCGCTAATCGTGTCATATTTTTTCCCCTTTCTTCCGCAGCCAGTTACCAGTCAGTGCCAACAATGCGGCGGCTCGCGAGCTACCCACCGTCACCCCGCTCCCCGCCAGAGTCAATCTGAGCTTGGTGTTTGGGGAGGGCGTGGAGACCCGCGCCAACCAGGCCGCGGCGGCCAGCGAGCGTAGCGCCAGCCTCGGGGAGCCAGAGGATGACGGGAACCAGTCTCATCGCTCGCACTCGCCCGCCTCCAGCCAGTGCAGTGCCACCTACAGTAACCTCGGTAAAAAAAAAAAAAAGAACACTTGCAGGATTACTCACACTTTTATCTGTTTCGTTGCCTCAGCCTGGGTTGTTTTAGTTGCCGTTTGTATGTTACTAACAGACAAACAATCATGCTAACCGTTAGCATGATTGCTGAAAATGTGTAGATCTCTACTTTATAGCACCTTGATAAAAATAACTAACTCAATAAATAAAATGGTTTTACAGAGCAAGAAACTCACAGTTCCACCCCCCCCCCAAAAAAAAATCAAGTCATCGGATCAATTAGCATGTGTTGCTTTCGCGATGCTAAGCTAAATTTAGCTTTTCTTCCATTTTCCATTTCCAACAATTCCAAATATTAACATGATATCTAGTTGACAAACACCCTACAGGTACATTCTAAATAAATTAGCTTCCAGATGAGTGGAACACGGGGACCAAGGCTTCAATCCCGGTCACGAACGTCAACATTCCGGTGGGTATGCTAGACCCAACTTTCCAGATATTAGCGGACGCAAATGTAGATAAAAATAGTCCGGTCACATCCGGTGTCCAAACGATGCCAAACATGTCACATCAGCGGAAACCCCTAAGAGACTGTGAAAAACTCATGTGTCATTTAGATATAGAACGAACGTTAATGTGGACTGTAAATGCCTGTGTGGATAGTTGACATGGTGCTGGCGAAGCCTCGCGCCCAAAATTGTCTCTCTATTTAGAACTACTTCTAAATTTTAGTCCACTCAGTGGACTGTCATGGCACTTTATCTGCCCCACTTGGTGTTGTTCAGTTGATTTCACTGTTCAGTATCAATCCGCATCAGGACACCTCTACACCGTACCAAAAAAATGGAATCGCAAATCAGACTCCCAACTCTGCACGTGCGGCTTGCGACTTGGACCACCTTTTTAATACATTTCGTGACAGAGAGAGAGACCCTTACAGGGTTTCCTATTTACTATGTTAAGTGAAAATGGTGGAAAATGTTTGGCGGCACTCCCATTAAGTGAAAATGGTGGAAAATGTTTGGCGGCACTCTCGGCAATTTTTATGTCCTATCCTAAAGCTCTTTGGCGCCATGCTGTGGACATTTTCTGTCCTCTTCAATATGTAATCCCAACACAGAAAAGATCCACTTGTTCCTTAATTTATTTATTTTGCCTCCGAAGCTTGTGGCACAATTTAGACATCACCATAGAAACAGAAATATCGAGATTACACTCAACCAAATGTCCCCTTCAATTGTGAGATTATTTTCATGATAGCACAAGGAAAAAGTGTTGTTGTTTTTTTTTTGTTGTTCTACCATCTGCATCCTTTTTTGTTTTTAAGTCTTGGAGTCTTTTTTTTTTTTTTTTGATATTCTGATTTCTGTAGACCAGAGATGTCATTTTTTGTCACTGGCCACATTGTAGTTGCTATTTAGCTTGGAGGGTTGTTATGACTGTGAAACAATATCAGGAAGTCAAGAATAATTGTTTCTTCAAGTATTGAAGTGTCTGTAATGAGGGGTTTTGTTAACAAGAAAATGCGGACATCAGCTCTCATACATTACATATGATCATTTCAAATTTTGGTACAGATTTTGGGTGGCATCATGGAAGTTGACACGCTTGATTGGCTTTCGCAGGCCACATAAATTATGTGGCGGGCCAGATTTTGCCCCCGGGGCCTTGAGTTTGACACCTGTGCCTTAGACCTTCATGAAAGTAGACTTGCTCTCTTTATCTCGACTCCCAACGTTTGCTTTTACTTTGGGAAACAGCAACCCAACTTTTTTGCCCATTTTCTGACCTGCTATGGACCTCACGAGTAAGCGAATCTCGAGTTTGTTTGTTTTTTTTGTTTTTAATGATTAACTGACAAATAATCATCTGATTGATTCTTAAAATAATTGTGAGTTGCAGCCTGAGATATGATTCAGCCATAAATGGGTTTTATTACATTAGGGTGAACAATTTGAAGCGGATCCAAAATAGTTTTGGTTGTCATGACGACACGGAAATATTTTTCCCCCCTCCAATGCCATTTTTCTAATCAAGTCAATGCAGTCTGTTGACATCAGTGGAGTTGTGCAGTTTGGTCCCCAAAGGGCAAAATGGACCTGAAAGCAATCGCCTTAGATGATAATTAGCATCTCCTTTGCCGTTTACATTTTGGGGGGAGGGGCTTGAAAAATGAGTTCTCCTGTTGACCGTGTTAGATTCCATTTCGCCCACCGCACGTTCATACTGCATGTCCCTCTCTCACTTGTTAATAACGGAGCGCAGCAGTGGGAGGCACAGTGCTCGCCGCCGCCTCGTACGGGGAGAAATCTCCCGTCTTAGTGAGAGCTGGCTTCAGAGCGCATCTCTGGGATGGAAGCACTGAAAAATGTTTCGGCGTGCCTTCATCTCTCTTGAAACTTTTCGGCAGCGGAGGACCTGAGGTAGGCGTATTTACCGCTCTCGTTGCTTTTTTTTTTTTTTTTTTTTTTTTTTGGGGGGGCTTTTTTTGTTTTGGCTTCTTC